GAGGAGCTCGTGTAGGAGGAATATTACCAACAAGTCAGCCTCAAGGAGACCAGTAGTGGTTGGTGTTGATGGACACTCACCAATGCCCATCGTGAAATTCCCAACAGCTAGGTGTAAAATGCCAAGCACACATAGTGTCTATGTGACAGGAAAGCTAGATGGCCAAAGGTGCAACTTTGTCATAGACTCTGCATCTCAGCAAACCCTTGTGAGCATCAAGGTGTTAGATCACAAAGGAGTACCAGAAGCCATACAGAAGCTTTATGGTGTGACAGGACATTCTACAAGATTGTGGGGACCAGTGTGGGTAACTTGAGCTCATGGGCATAAAGGACAGACAGAAAGTATAATTGGCTGACATTGAAGACGAATGCATATTAGGATTGGACTATCTACTACCAAGAAAGTTTGTAATTGATTTTGATAAAATGACATTTGTGGACAACAAAGGCCAAGTTCCGGTAACTGTTAAAAGAGAGGTTGAACTAATTAGGTGCCATCAAGCTGAAGTCAAGCCGATTGACAGAGTTGATGATGGTGAAGTGGAACCAAATATAGATATCAAAGCAGAACAGGAAAAAGACCAAGATTTGAAACCAATAATTGATTTCCTAAAAGCAAGTGTTTTGCGCCCTGCTTGGGAGAAGGTGTCTAGTCTAAGCCCTGTGACAAAGAACTATTGGGCACAATTGGACCAGTTGAAGCTTGAAGATGGTATTCTGCTCTGGAGATGGGAAACTACAGATGGGAAATTGACGACTTTGAAAACGGTTATACCGAGAAAGTTACGGGAAGTTGTGCTGCGTCAATCCCGTGATGGTTTAACAGGAGGACATCTCGGAGTTAAAAAAACATTGAGTCACCTACGACACAGATTTTACTGGATAGGTATGAGACAAGATGTGGAAGAATGGTGCAGAAAATGCAGTACATGTTGTGCTAAAAGGGGACCCAAGCATAAGGGACGTGCTCCAATGAAGTTATATCAAGTTGGCGCACCAATGGAAAGAGTAGCCGTCGACATTGCTGGTCCTCTGCCCCAAACTCGTGCTGGAAACAAGTACATTTGTGTGGTGATGGATTATTTCACCAAGTGGCCTGAGGCATATGCAATACCAAATCAGGAAGCTACAACTGTAGCTTCGGCTTTTTTGTGATTTCTTC